CTCAACATCATAGCGTCACGAAACAAATCTCGGCGAGTCGAGTTATTATTTCAAGTCGAATATTTTGTCGATCACGAAAAATATTATCACACAATCCAATTTCATTTAGAGATAGGATTAATCCTTGCCGCGATAACAATTCTATCTACCGAATCATTTTGTTTATCACTTGCCATACACGCATTTGGAATGTTTAAAATAGCTAGGTACATATATATGACATATCCTTTTAATCGTGCAACTTGACGATATTTCATACATTTTGTTTCTGCAGTTTTCGGATGGAGCATATAATTGATGAAAATGCATCGAATATATCCATGAAGAAACATTGTACCTTTTATCACAATATAGTAGTTGCTGTAAATGGTCATAGGAGAGCAATTGAGTCAGTATTGTAAATACTGTTTATATTTTAATGTTTTAAAGAATATTGTTTCATTTATTTGCATACTGTTTTCGCATTTTATTTTAAAAATATATAATTAAGCTAAATTAAAAGTAGAAGTAATATACTTTTAATTTAGAATTTTGTATTACTAATTACATTAATAATTTACTTTTTTTTTAATGTATTAATACAGGTAAAGTAATAATGACGATAACATGAATAGTTATAGCTACATTTAGCTAATTTTCATTATTTTTTGTTTTATAGTTTTATGTAATTATAATTATGTTCAACAAAAAAGTTAATTAATGTTAATTTTTCTCAATTCCGTATGTAGATGGTTTGTGATTTTTAATAGAATGTATAAATGATATGTATTTAGACTTTCTATAAATTATTTCATTACAAAAATATATTTACAATTCTTCATATAAACAAATATAAAAAAAATTTCAATTTTTTAAAGATTTTCTGAAATGGTTAAGTCAATTTTTGCGATACCCTATTTGGCTTTAATTTTACTTGGAGTGACTTCAACAAGCGTGAATTTATTTCTGGTAAAACAGTTATTCTTGTTAAAAAATAAAAATAAATCCTGCATTATAACAGCAAAAAGTAAATAGATTTTTTGATAAGCTATTTTTTGGCAGTTTTTCCAAATAGTGACATCGCCGAACACAATGAGTGACATAATTAGATCTATTATATTTGTTGTTTGTCATTATACCTATATGTTTGTTGCTAATTATGCTGGACAGAAATTTATAGATCACGACGCAGATGTCTACAAAAACATGTAGGTAACGCAAATAATGCAACGATATATAGTCATATGTATAATATTTCTTTGAAATTATTAAAGATGCAACATACAATGGTACAATGCTCCTTTGCGAATGCAGAAACGGATATTATTTATTATGCAAAAAGCCATAAAAAGTTATCACGTAGATGTTGGTGGCTTATACAGCCCATCATTACAAGGTTTCACATCGGTAATATCGGAAAATATCTGTAAATTATACAACTTTAATTTTTATCAAGGATATAAAATGAATTATTTATTCTAGCTGGCGAGTGCATCACTCTCTTATTTTACGGTGCTCTGTTCAATGAGAAAATAAGAGATCTAATTTAAAACGAAGAAAATTAGTGTAGAAAGTATATGCCTATTAAAATATTATCAAGTTTCTGTAATGTTTTGGCATAAAGTTCGAGATAACAAAAATGAAATTGTCAATTAAAAAATACTATTCTCGAATATATTTTAGTGTTTATATGTACTACATATACACGCACGCATATTTTCTGCATGTTTTTTAACATACAACACACACACATACAACATTTTTATGCACAATAATGGTACAATATCGACTCACGTTATTCAAAACATTTTACATGCTATTTATCATTTACGTGCTTATTATTATGAATCGAGCTTCCTAACTGCAAGACAATGAACGAAAAATGTGTTTCACACCACATATAATTGCACAAATATGTGTAAAAAGCTTAGTATATTGAAATTGAATATCATCAAGATATTTTCAATATTTAATAAATACCGGTAAAAATTTGGGTTATAATACTAACAAAATTTTTAGTCTGAACTTTACAGACGCAAAATATTTCAATAAGCATCATGTTGCGTCGTTGACTATCCACATAAATGTAAGCTTCTCCAGAATAACACTTTGTTTCGTTTCTCATTGCGCTTGCGCGTGAAAAAAAGAGAAAAATAGAAAATATTGATATGCAAAGTATAACTGAAAGTTATAATAATTTTTATTATTTATCATTATTATCCTTAATGGAATAAGCGTATCTATAAGTAGATATCTACGGACATTCATATAGGTTCTCTTCGGAAAAACGTATCGCGCAGCGTCTTATTATCTTATTGCCCATTTATTTGCATAGATATAAACATATCTTAGAAATTCAGAAGTTAGATAAACAGAAGAGTTGAACAAAAGATAATTACGAAAACCAGCGGTACGAAGGGAAAAAAGCTTTTGTAGACTATCTGCATGTTCAGTGATATTTGTCGTCCAAATGGAGTTGGAACAATATTATATACTGCATCGGATTCTTTTATCGCCAATCGGTCTTTGGCCATATGATAATTTCAAAGTCAGACGATTTCGTTTCATACTGACGTTATTGATATTGGTATTATTTACTAGTACTCAGGTATCTGCTTTACAGTAATCTATATTACTAATATATATAATCCTACGATGCGGGGACGAATATTCTCACATTGTACTTCACTGTAATAGTACTGATATGCAGTGGTAAATTTTTTTTTCGCCTTTCTGTACTTTAAAATGATGTTGTTCTTTGTTTCTGCTATATGTTCTATTGTTAAATATTGTTCGAATATTACTACTGTTATAATATTTTCAGTTGATGAAATTATTTGTCTCAAAATACAACTTGGATCTTCTTGTACAAATATTACCTTTCAATATTGTTTTAATAGGATTCTCTTTGAAATATGTCACAGTTTATGCTATGATAAAAAATGTAAGAATGATTTAATTTATAATATATAATTTGTTATGTATAATAATATTTATCATATTTGCTAGAGTAGATAAAAGAATTCCAGGAACGTCGTCAGAGTAATTGGGACGCTTTGGCAGACAATCGAGAGATCGAGATAATACGCAAACAAGCGATCATTGGAAGATTATTTACGATAATTATAGCAAGTAAATGCCGAATATATATACTTAATTACTTGTTTCCTAATTAAAATTGTTTGTGATAATTATTATTAAATTATTGTATATGACTCAAAATTTAAAAATCAAACAATCGTTTTTTACAACTTTGGACATATATTTAGAAAACAACTAAATTTTTTAAATAAAAATATACACATTGAATTACTAACTGCCGATGATATATTACATAAACTTATAATATTTTTATACTAATTTAACTGTAATTTATTGCAAATTGCAATATATAATATGTGTATATTGTACATGTTCTATTTCTAATATGCACAAAGGATATATTTTAGATTTATCAAATCAATTTTAATTATATTTTATATACAGATTTTTAATCATACATCAAATTTTTTTAAGTATGTGTACGTGTGTACATGCATATATCATGTGAGATAATTGTGTTAGATAATCAGGAATATCTAAATTATAATTGTTCAAGGATAAGAGAAGGACTTTTTAAAATCTCATTTTTTGTTTGAATGCAATTTTTTAATTTTTTATTTGAGCTTTTGGTTTAAAAAAAAAAATATTTAATATTGAAAATTAAAACTTTTTTATAAATGATAATTTCTCATGTAAATGGTAATTTCTCATTAAAATCAACTTCAAATTAATTTCAAGTTTTGATCATACAATTCATAAATAAAAAAATAAGTGATTGAACTTAAACATTCGACAAAATGTCTTAAATGTTATTTTTATAAATACCAATTGTCTTATTTCTAAAAGATAATCTACACATGAAAATATAGATTTTATTTAATTTTATTTAAAAATTGCGCTAGTTATATTTTATAACTGCAGCATTTGTCATAATTAATAATTTGTTTATAAAAAAGCTATTATTATTTAATTAAATATTAATGATATTTTAATTACATTTCAGTGTTGGTATATAGTATATCGTCCTTCTTGTTTTTTATGCAATATATTCCAATCTTATTCGATATTGTAGTACCTTTGAATGAATCTCGTCCGCGTGAACTCATGTTTCCGGCAGAATATTTTATCGATCAACAGAAATACTTTCCTATCATAACAATACACACAGGAATTGGACTTTTCCTTGTAGCAACTAGTGGAATAGCTACCGAATCATTCTCATTTGCAAATGCATTACATGCCTTCGGACTATTTAAAGTTGCTAGGTACGTGCAATTATTTTGCTTAGTAAAGGTATGTTTATTTCGTTAATTTATTTGTATTTCTATTAGAGATTTAATAGCTGAATTTGTCTAAATTAGCAATATTCTGTCTCTTTTAAACTTGATACTAATTATGATTAATATTTTCACTTTCTCTCACAAGATGCCCGATTTGTTAGCTTTATTAAAGATTAATTTTGTTTACTAGTATATTATTTAATTTTTGTTTCTATTATATAATATGCCATCAATATTTAATAAAATAATACAGCTTTCTAGAAGATATTATTATTATCAATAATTATGTATCAATCTTGCTTAAATTCATAATATGGTTATATCTATTAATATATGACATCTGAATTTTTTCAGTTATCGTATAAAACATATATTACGCAAAACTGATTTGCAGATGTGTATAACTAAACAATATATTATATCTCGTCATAGAATAATCGCTGCAGTGGATTTCCATAGAAGAGCAATTGAGTTAGTACATTTATTTAAATTAAAATCGCTTCATGTAGACAAATATATACGAAATTTCAAAATTATTTTTCTGCTACTTATATACATATATAATTTATTTAATTATTGTAATTATATATATATATATAAATCTCATCTATACATTAATTTATATTTAACCTATACTATACACAACATTAATTTTATGCAATTTAAATGTGATTCTGTATTTGTATGCATATATTTTAAAGTAATATACTTGAATTAAAAACTATATTAATTTTAAAAAAGTTATTATTATTAACACATATTGAGGATATGATGACGACGAATGTTTTATTTTATAAGATATTCTGAATTATTAAAAGCAAGTTTTGGGCAAATGTATTTAATTCTTTTTGTGATACTGGTGTGTTCGGCAAGTATCAATTTATTAAATGTGAGTAATACAACATTTATAAAATATAAATACAACATTTAAAAAATTTTAGTTAGTAATATTTTTCATTAATTTTTGAAAAAATAATTTGTAATATTCAAAACAATAAATTTCTTTCAAAAACATTGACGCGCTATTGTTTGCAGTTTTCTCGAACAATGATGACAGAAAAAATATTAGATATGATTAAATCTCTCATGTTCATATTCTTATATGTTACATGTTTGACTATGGCTAATTATGCTGGTCAGAAATTTATTGATTGTGATACGCATGTTTATCGAACCATGTAAGTGTATAGTACAATTATTATTATGATATTTTTCTCTACAACAGCTTGGATTCTTTTTTAAATTGTGTAATTCATATTATTGCAAGTATGTAATGTTTAGAATACTTTTGCAATTGTATAGATGTAATACGAAATGGTATAATGCTCCGTTAAAAACACAAAAATTAATATTCTTCTTGATACAAAAGACTACAAAATGCTATAAAGTTGATGCCGGTGGTATGTTTAGTCCGTGTTTCGAAGGTTTAGCCACAGTAAGAAATTTTGTTAAAAAATGGAATATATCGATTCGCATTAATCGATTAGCTGCTATAAAAGATCCTCTGTTTTAGGGTCTCAGTATGACGATTTCTTATTTCATGGTTCTTTCCGCCACATAATTATAGCATCTGATATTATATAAAAGGCACTTCTATTTTGTTGTTATTTTAGAGATATATGATATAGATATTAAATAGATTATTATATTTTCAATAATTATCATATAATTATAATAATATAATATATATATATGTATATATCAATATATATGTATGTATATATATATAATCACCAATAAAATCGATAAATTGGCGAACTTATTCAAATTTAAATTTAAATTTAAATTTAAAATATTTTGTTCTTTGTTATTTATACTATTAACTCATTTTGCTATTTTAATTTGTTGCAATATTTATGCATTTGCCATTGTTATATATTGTATACATTACACTTATTATATGCATCTCTTTTTCTCTCTGTCCCTTTCTTTTTCCACTCTCTTTTTGCTATGAGTAATAAATTAAAAAATTGTCAAGTTATTGTAATGTTTTGGCATAAAGTTCGAGATGACAAAAATGAAATTGTCGAATAAAAAATACTATTCTCGAATATATTCTAGTATTTATATGTACTACACACGCGCGCACGCATTATTTTCTGCATGTTGTTTAGTATACAGCATACGTTTTCAAATTCTTAGGTACAATAATGGTACGGTATATCTATTCATGTTATTCAAAACATTTTACATGCCATTTATCATTTAGGTGCTTACTATTACGATTTGAGGTTTCTAACTGAGCCCAGTTAGTGAGTCTCATTGAGTATAATTAACGATGCAATATATCGCCTGTTGTTTGACGCATAAATAAACACACTCTCTCGAAAAGGACTACACTATTTTGTACCGCATTACACTATAACAAATCATTAGACAGGTAAAAATCCGATGTTATTAAAACATACTATGTAACTGTGAATTTAAGCGTTAACATCTATTTTTTCAGCGGAGTGGATATGTTATATCCTCGTCTCGGAATAAATCGTTTTCTTTTCTTTTTCTTCTTGTTTTTACTAATCGATTATATTTTCTTTTTTTTGTGGATCTAGACATCTTAAAAGTTTAAAGTTCCAAACATTACATTCGAAACTGCGTTATAAATATTAATATATAATTATTAATAATTGCTTACTGTTACGATTTGATCACTCCTGCAGTCAGTGTAATCACTCCTCTGTCCTTATTATCATAAACTTTAGAAACATAAAATATATGGATCACAGATATCATAATACATTGTGTTTAATCTGCTGCATATGGAAGAAATACATCTTACCAACATGTACATCTTACCAACATTTTCTGTTCTCTACTGCGCGTGCGTTGGGAGAAGGAGGGGACAAGGAAGATAAGAAACCTTAATATACATGTAATCATGCATAACAGCAAATTGCGATAATTCAATAGTTATCATCCATTTGCATAACAGAGCAGAGATATAGTCGCTCTTTCGAGAGGAATATATTTCGAAAAATATTCTATATAATATTCTCTTCTATATTATTTTGTATCATATATTCTTTTAATGCGGATTCAAGCTCTTCATAAATTCCAAATGCCAAATAAAACTTTTATCTTTACTATCCATACAACGACGAAGTATTATGATTATAGAAAAATTGAGAATAAAATGCTAGAAAAAATAATTATAAGAACGGAAGCGGAGTAGGAAAAGGGGAAAACTTCTATAGACTACAAGTAGTCATTGTCAGTAACGCTTCGATAGTTGCTTAAGATGGAGTTCCACGAGGAGAAATACTATAAGCTCAATTATATTCTTTTAGCATCGATTGGACTCTGGCCATACCATAATTCCAGCATCAATCAGATTCAAGTTGTATTATCATTATTAATATACATAACATTTATGACATATCAGGTATCTATATTGATCTAATTTGAAGTCGTTGTGTACACTGTGTACACTTAATTTTGAAACATTATTCGTATACATATGTTTTATAGATTATATTATATATGTTTTATAAATTCTCATATATATATTATTTTTCTGTATATTTCTTTTGTATATTTTTATTTGTGTGAATTTTATATATACACACGCGCATATATATATATATATATATATATATTCATTATAAACAAATACCAGAATTGGGAAGTAATATGTTTCAAAAAAGTAACTTTTGATCTACCTTTTCAGTAACTAGTAACGAATTTAACAATCTGAATCGTGAATTAGCGTATTACATCAGGATTTTGAAATCTCAAAGTTATAGGGGCATTGCAAAAAAAGCAATTTTGATCATATTTGTAAAGTTATTAAAAGAAAAAAATTAGGGAAATCTTTTTTTATTTATATTTATAGAATTTGTAGATCTCTTAAAAAAAAAGTTTTCATTGCAATGTTTCTGAAAAAAGTTTTTTCAGATTATGATATTAAGATTCAAAATTGTTATCAAATTGTTACACACTTTACATCGATAGCGATATCAATATCAAAAATATATCGCTTTTGCTATATTTGAATGTAAAAAAATGTTTAACAAATTTTATGTGTTTTTATATATATATATATATATATATATATATAATTTGCATCAACAATTATATTATTATTACTTACAGTTAATACAAATATTCGTTGCGAAATATACTTTTGATATTCTTTTGGAAGTGTTATCATTCGATTTTTTGATTATGGCATGGATTGCCAAATATATTACTTTTTATGCTGTGATGAAAAATGTAAGTTTAACAATAATTTAATCTGAAATTGATTATCATGTGCATATTTATCATACATGCTAATAGATAAAAAAATTCCAAGAACATATTCATGATAATTGGAGCATTTTGACGGATGATCGAGAGATCGATATAATGCGCAAATATGCTAACAATGGAAAATGGTTTACAATAATTATAGCAAGTAAGTGCGGAATAAATTTTTAATTACTCGCTTTTAATTGATTTTGAGTTATCTATCTACGTATTCGGAACACAGCTTAAAAATAATACGATGATTTTTACAATGTTACAATATATAAATTTTGATATAATATAAATAAACCAATGTGATCATAAAAACCGGAAATATATAGCAATCGATTTCGAATAACAATAAGCTATGCGCTTGTTCGAATTTTTAACTTACATTATAGTAACACAGTTTTCATCAAAATTTGATATTAATTATCATGAATAATTGCGAAAATTACATCAAGATCAATTATTATGCTTCTAATACGATCAATATATTAGTTTAGAAATATAAATATTTATAATTCTATTTAATTTGATATAAAATAAAAAGAAACTTAATTTGCGCGCATTTGCTTATGATGTGTTTGACTATCTTCTAATTTAATAAAATTTCCTAAATTCCAGCGTTGGTTTATTTCGGAATTCTCACCTACATTTCAATACAATATATACCAGGCTTACTTGATATCACATTGCCATTGAACGAGTCTCGTCCGCGCAAACTTCTTACTCAAATGGAATATTTTGTTGATCAACAAAAATACTTTCATGTCTTAGCAATGTACATAAATATTATGATATTTCTTTCAGCGACCACTGGTATAGCTACTGAATCATTTTCATTAATAAACGCAGTACACGCTTTTGGAATGTTTAAAATTGCTAGGTAAATTGTAAGTGAAATAATATTTATTTTTAAATAATTTTTTTATTAGTTTTATTTATTTTCATTTTATTTTAAGTTATATTAAATTATATTAACAGTTGTCTTTTTGTCTAATTAAGGGGATCCCAAAGGGTCTGTTTTACCGATAAAAACTTTATTTTGCAAAATCTTTTTTTTGATTATAGATATCAAAAAATCCTTTTCCACAATTAAAGTATACATAATAACGGAGATAAAATATATAAAGATGTAGTAATAAATACACACATATGCGATGAATGACTATTGTTTGTTACAAAACGATTTATCACTAAAAAATTATATATATATTTTTTTAGATAGGAAAAATCATAACGAGCGTATCTGATTTGGAATCTTTTCTTCAAATCTTTTCATTTGTTGTACCTTGTCTAGTGTTCTCTCTGAAATATTCCACATTTTGTATAAAATCTAAGGATGTAAGTTAATTTACTTTATTATATTACATATAAAAATATTCTAGTCAAAATTTCAAGGATTAATATTTTATGTAATAGTTATATTTAACAATTTCCGTGTGTTTGTGCTTATTATTTTACTTAATAAATAAGAGAGAGAAATATAAAAATAACTTAAAAATATCATGATTTATTATTGATAATGGTAGATAAGGAAAATACATGAGCAAATAAAATATCATTGGAATACGACAAAGTGCAAAGAGGAATTAAAAATCTTACAGCGATTCACCAAGATCGGATATCTGATGACAATTCTTATAGGAAGTAAGAATTTTTTTGTGAACTCTTCAGTATCTATGTTGAATATTAAATTTAAATTCTTTTCGGTTTTTTTTTTATAAAACTAATTGAAAAAAAAAAAAGGAAGATTATTTACTTTTTCAATTTTTTTGCTAAATTGAGATTCATTGTATTATCATTTTTTCGCATTTTGCTGATAAATAATTTATCTTTGTCTTTGATTTAATCGATATTTTTTCAGCCTTGTTCTATTCATCCATATACATATTCCTAATGATGCAAATTTCACCAAAATTCCTTGATATAGTGGCGCCCTTGAACGAATCACGACCGTACGAACTTTTAGCTATAGCCACGTTTTTCTTTGATCAAGAAAAATATTTTGTTCCAATATTTATGCATATGACAGTGGCGCTTTCAGTAGAAATAACTATAATAGTGGCCACAGAAACAATATGCTTGACATGTATGCAACACGCTTGTGCTCTATTCAAAATTGCCAGGTAACGATCGGAATAGAAAAATTGAATAAAATTTGTTCGCAAAAACTGAATTTCGCAACTGAGACAGGATATACATACAATAAGGCGTTATGGTTAACTTTTCGTTAATCTTATATTACAGCATATTTTTAGCAATTATTAACGTGCGTGCTTTATTCCTGCAGTTTTCGCATAGAGCATGCATTTGATTGCGAAATACACATCTCTGTCGCAGAGAAAAATACGACGTATTACACGAATAT